TACTCACATCCAACCTGGATAACACACCGGCATCCCTGCGAGTAGAGATTATAGGAAAGTGCATAGGTTCAGTAGGAGGAGCAGGGGCAGGAAGGATAGAATGGGAATCGTCTAAGGTGGAGTTAGAGGAGAATAAGGTGCCAAAGAGATTGGCTTTGTTAGGGGGAGAGTTGGCTATAGAGTTATCAGGTCGGAAGAGAGGAGGAAAAGAAGGAGTGCAGAAGTTATTACAGATGTTTTTGGTTAAGGACCAGAAGGATTTACTAGAGGAAGAATTAGTCAGGACAGCGGTCTTTCTTTTTATAAAATTCCTCTGTATTGGTCCAATCTTTTCTCGTGTTTTAGTTTGATACATTTGAAAGAATCCCTTGGGGTTTGACTTTGCCTCCCTTGCTACCTTCAGTTCATTATTCCTCTTTGTTTTTCTTATCTTGGTCTTAACCCTACTGGCCAATACCTTATAATAATCTTGGAGGTAAACTTCACCACGATTTATAATATACCTATAGCCTTCCTTTGTCCAATAATATTCTTTAAATAATTTTTTAAACCATTTGGGGTAATTTTTGTTTGATCTGAGTTTTTTGTACGGTATGTTCTCCCTTTGTGCATTAAGTAACTCATTTTTTAAATTGTTGTGGAACTCTTCAACCTCAGATCTTGTGATCAGGTCATCCTCAACTGTCATATTTTGTCTGTGAAGGTTGCTCATTGGAAGACTGGTGTGTAATTCAACGAGTACAGTGATATCTCCGTTAGCCAAAACAATTGGTGCAGAGCAGTTCCGGGAATGAGGGATTTCCGGGTAACGAGACGACTCTCTCAAAGCCGTAAAAAATTCCTCATCCCCGGAATTTTCCGGGTAACGAAAAATTATTCACAGAATTTTTCCGAAAATGTGCCCTTTGGAAAATCATTTCCAAAGCCAGACTTTTCCCGAAAATTCCAGCTTTGGGAATGGTATTCCGAGAAATTTTCAATTCCGGCTATCGGAGAGTTCCGGGTTTGAGGGATTCCGGCTAACGGAGATATTACTGTATTTGAGAAAGAAGCCACAGCTGTTGACATTCTTAAGTCTCATAAAGATTATAACACCATACTGCACCACTTCATCCTTCAAGGGGCATCACTTTTAGCCTTCTCCATCTGGTAATTAAAGTAAGTTTTGGTTAGGTTAAGTTAGATGTGTTTTCAGTACTGTATCTGATAATTGAGTCGTTTTTGCTTATTTTTGCCCCACAAGGTACTTATTTCCATCATAAATGAAGGTCAAATTCATGTAAATCAGAGTGAAACACCCCCTGTTCAAACTCACCCTTCTTACAGAATATCAACACTCAAAATAATTAAAATATACATTACAGGTAATAGACTTCAACATTAAAAGTTTATTGGCTGAATTATAAGAACTAAACTACCAAAAGGGTTAAAAACTAAACTAAAAACCTATATTTAAAAATAAAAAAAACATACATTTGAAATTGTGATTGGTAGTGTACACTTTAGTTATAAGTTATACAGGACTTGTATAAGTGACCAGTCTGTCTAAGGAATCTAGCATTACCTGTAGTTGTTCTGTTCATACTTACCCAAAGATGAAAAATCTTTCCATGTATTTGTTTGTACAGTAATCTTAAGTAAATGTTTAACCTGTTTATAGATAGGTGTACTTGTAGGTTTAACAGTCTAGCCTCATCATGCAGTAAGCCAACTAACATGTAAAAGGGTAGTGTGAATAACAAGGACTTGGTGTACTACGCTTGCTGGTTTCCCAGAATTAAAGTAAAACTTGTAAATTACACTGTGCGACTGTCCATTGATACAGTAATCATATATTGAGGTGGTGTGGTAGTGTTGGGTCACTGTGTGGGTGGTTGGTCGAGGCTAGCTAGGGCGGCAGTGCAGTCATTCATATGATTGATAATATCAGAAGTGTTATGGAATTAGTAGGTTAAGGGATGTATTTTGGTTTTGAGATTATCTTATGTGTCTTTTATGTACCAATAAGAACTAATTTTTTACATCTTAACCCTTCACTATGGGGACGCCACTTTTAAAATTTAATTCGTCTAATGCCAGACAATTTTATTCAATACAAGGAAACCTCCAACTACAAGGGAATTATCAGTAAGAGCTCTCTACCTCCATGCAGGGCCATGGAACACATTTATGGCAACTTATGATACATTAATACAGATCCTTGGTGCCAAAGCCTTGCCGGATTATCCGTTTTGTCGGACCAACCGAGGTCAGGTAATAATAAATTAACAATACGCCTCTGACCCACTAATGATACACCTCCTGTGTCTCTAAAGCACTATGGACTGCTAGAAATTTAAATTAAACAAATATTAAATATAAATTAAGTGTGAAAAAACATAATTTTGAGCAACATTACTGTACAGTGACCCCTCGGTTAACGAACTCAATCCGTTCCAGAAGGTCGTTCGTTAACCGAAAAGTTCGTTAACCGAAACCATTGTTTCAATGGGTTTTTGGGTAATTGGTTCCAGCTCACCGAAAATTTCCTAAATTCAACAAAAATGGTAGAAAAGTTCACTTACTTTGAGGTGTGTATGTAGAAGGCTCCTGGATGATGATGATGATGATTTAGAATGGGGGTGGAGGAGAAGGAAGAAGAGAAGGCATTGGGGTGGAAGAGAAGTCACCCCATGGCGCCATTTCACCCATAAAATTTTAGCTCTCTTGGTGTAATTCAAGATTATTTTCTTTAAATCAACACTGCACTGCATTATATATTGTCAATATGTAAAATATATTTCAAAATGACCAATAATTTGCTTGGAAACACAGAAAAAAGCATTTAGTTGAAGAGAGTCTCAAGCAAGATGTTACTTCCAGTGAAAACAGAGAGAGACTAACACCTGTTTGCTGTGTTAAGAGGCTGGATGCCGCGCATTAAACTAGTCACTTTACCTTCAATTATGTTCAATAATTGTTAAAATGACTAAAAAATTGAATATTAAACTTTTAAAATTATTGAATAGTATAAACTTCTTGATATTTACTAAAATAGTAAGGAATTTAAGCCCTAGAACCGATTAATGTATTGGCGGACTGATACTAAAGCTGGTTGCCCAGTCAGTGCAAGTGAAAACATGTTGAGGTCGGTTCGTAAGAAATTCGTTAACCGAATTTTTGTTCGTTAACCGAATTGAAAATCCTTATGGAAGGCAGTTCGTTAACCGAAATTTCGTTAACCGAGGCGTTCGTTAAACGAGGGGTCACTGTACACACTTTGTACTCAAATGTACTACACTAGACTAAATTTGTTATCTCGTGCAAACTACAGTGGTCCCTCGTTTAACGAACAGTTCAATTAACGAACAAAACTTTGATTAACGACAGCCTTAATAAAAACACGCTTTGTTGTGCACATCAGCTGATCAGCTAGCCCGCCAATACAATACAGCTACTCCACGACTTATGACCACCCGGACATACGACCGCCTCAGTAGTACCAAAAACTTTTCAAATTACGTCTTTTCGAGTCCCGACGTTAGTGATTGCGCTGTGTAGTGACAATTTTTTTTTTGTAATTCCCCTTAAAATGGCTGGCAAGCTTAAAAGTGAGAGTTTTGTGGTGCTGAGAAGAAAAAGAGATGCATTTTAGATTTCCTATGTATAAAATTTGAGCATTTTCAACTTACGTACGACCAACTCGACTTATGACCTGGATTTGGGTCCGTAACCTTGTCATAAGTCGAGGAGCAGCTACTCTGTAAAGAATATGGCATGTCATCATCGACTGCCTCTACAGTCAGCTGTTTGTTATGTAAACAAAGTTGCCGGGAATACGACACACACACCTCAAAGTTAGTAAAAATACAGTACATAGTCTATTGTTTTTTATTTAGTATTATACAATATGTACAGTATACTGTGTAGTGCAGTACTGTATTTAGTTTATATTTAATGTTTTGTTAATTCTATTACCGGTATACAGTACTTTGTACTGTATGTATACTTTTTCTGTGAGTTGGAACCAATTACCCAATATCCCATTGAAATAATAGATTCAGTTAACGAAATTTTTGGTTGACAACCAACTCTGTGGAACCAATAGTGTTCGTTAATCGAGGAACCACTGTATGTGATATTTATACTCAAATTAATCACCATCTTACAAGGATTCCAGCAATGCAATTTATATTCTGCTAAGTCTAGTCAGCTATATTTTATAAGATAAAAACTTTTACCCTAAAACCCACCGTCACCCTGGCTGGGAGGGAGGGAGGGAGGGAGGGAGGGAAGTTAAGTGCCCTCTCATAATTTTGTCCAGACTAAAGGAGGTGCCGGACCATCAGTTCCCGGATAATCGGTGGTGATAAAGTAGGCTGTAATAGACCAAAAGATAGGCTGGCCATAGTCTCTCCCGGGTCCCCCCCAAACTGCCGTCTCTCTTGATGTGATATAGTAAATCAAATGAATATCTTGCAGTCACCAGTTTTGCAGTCAGATTAGTATGGTATAAACTTTGATCGGGCTTAGCAATATATCTGCAACATGTTAAGACATAGTAACAGTTGGAGGGGTCAGCCCTCTGGACTCAGTGGACCTTCCCCCTCCCTTCTCCACAGCATAAGGATTTGTCTCCAATCCCCCAAACCCATCCCCTCTTACCTCACACTACCTTGTCGCCGCCACCACCACTGCACATATTGAAGCAGACTATCAGTCAGCTCTTGTTAGCCAATAATCTCCCTAACCGCTTGCCCTAAAGAGGCTTTGTGGAATAGTGCAGATTTCATCGAAACACAGAGGCTGTTAGACCTTTGGAACAGTCTACCAGCTTCAAAATGGCCCTTGACAAAATTATTAAGAACACTGGAAGGATCTGGCACAAGCCACTGGGTTTCTTCCTTTGGAATGGCCACCTCTAGTGGTTGACCATTAGGTAAATAAGGTAAATAATTATAGATATTTTATTTGACAAAGATAAAATTAATGATCCATAATTACATCTCACAGATTGATGACAGACGAGCAGAGTCATCGTGAAGAAACCAGCAGAAGTTATGAGACAAAGAAGTCATCTTGGAGTCATGGCAACAGGTACTGGGAGGAGGTAAAGATACACCCTGAGTCTGGTTGTAAGATGACTGATACAAGCATTATACATGAGGACACTAACCCCTGTATCAAAGAGTACAACTTGTCTATGAACTGTATTTCTGAGAATGTCCTACAGAGAGATGTCTGTATGCCATTCTTTGATAATTACCGCATATGCAAGATGTTCTGGAGAAAGGTTATCCGTGACCGCAGAGCGAAGGGTATAACACCTGCTGTACCTCACCCGTCCAAGAGAAATGAAGTGAAATTAGAATATTTAAACAAGAAATGGTTTGAAATTTAATGATGGTCATATATAGGACACTATACTGTAGTGAAATATAGGTGCAGTAGTACCACTATTTACGCAGTCAATTGAACCCACAGGGTACCGCGGAAAGTGAAAACCGCATTAAAGTGAACAACAGAACATATGGGATTAATTCCAATAGAGACTGGCCCGACCCCCAAACTCCACTTTTTCCGACACAATACCTATGTTGTAGTAAAAATAACATCTAAATTTTATGATGGTATGCTCACACAATTAATATTTAAGAGAAATACAGTCGTCAGGTTAATGTCCATTCAAATAATGGACTCAAATCCCCCCCCTCTTCCCAGCTCACTAGCTCCTACCTCTCTGAGAAATGTTTGGGTGAAACCACTAGATTTTAACGTTTAGTAATAAATAATACCTCAGACTAAAGTTAGGATAATATAATTGACATTTCTGGATTTCTTGCAGGTCAAGGAATATTTTGAATGTAAACTTCATATATTTTGCACAAAAGATAAAATATTTGCTTTGTGTAAACCAAATTATTACATTAGATCTAAAATTTGTATGTCTAATACAAAATCCATGATGTTTATATTCAAAATGATCATCATATTGTACGAATTCCAGCATGGAAATTATATTCTGGCTGGGTAATTTGTATGAATTTTATGAGCTAAATAAAAAAAAATAAAAAATAAATTATACTTCCCCGCGTATATGAGTAGATGCACCTCGGAAAGTGAAAGTCCCGGTTCTGGCAAGGTACCGAGTAAATGAGAAATCGCGGAAGAAATCGCGGAAAGTGAAACCGTGTAAAGCGGGGTAATACTGTATTGTTAAAATTATTCAACATGTTAGTATCATGTCAGAATTATTCAACATGTTAGTATCATGTCAGAATTATTCAACATGTTCGTATCATGTCAGAATTATTCAACATGTTCGTATCATGTCAGAATTATTCAACATGTTAGTATCATGTCAGAATTATTCAACATGTTAGTATCATGTCAGAATTATTCAACGTGTTAGTATCATGTCAGAATTATTCAACATGTTAGTATCATGTCAGAATTATTCAACGTGTTAGTATCATGTCAGAATTATTCAACATGTTCGTATCATGTCAGAATTATTCAACATGTTAGTATCATGTCAGAATTATTCAACATGTTAGTATCATGTCAGATTTATTCAACGTGTTAGTATCATGTCAGAATTATTCAACATGTTAGTATCATGTCAGATTTATTCAACGTGTTAGTATCATGTCAGATTTATTCAACATGTTAGTATCATGTCAGAATTATTCAACATGTTAGTATCATGTCAGAATTATTCAACATGTTAGTATCATGTCAGAATTATTCAACTTGTTAGTATCATGTCAGATTTATTCAACGTGTTAGTATCATGTCAGAATTATTCAACATGTTAGTATCATGTCAGATTTATTCAACGTGTTAGTATCATGTCAGAATTATTCAACTTGTTAGTATCATGTCAGATTTATTCAACGTGTTAGTATCATGTCAGAATTATTCAACATGTTAGTATCATGTCAGAATTATTCAACGTGTTGGTATCATGTCAGAATTATTCAACGTGTTAGTATCATGTCAGATTTATTCAACGTGTTAGTATCATGTCAGATTTATTCAACGTGTTAGTATCATGTCAGATTTATTCAACGTGTTAGTATCATGTCAGATTTATTCAACGTGTTAGTATCATGTCAGAATTATTCAACATGTTAGTATCATGTCAGAATTATTCAACGTGTTGGTATCATGTCAGATTTATTCAACGTGTTAGTATCATGTCAGAATTATTCAACATGTTAGTATCATGTCAGAATTATTCAACGTGTTAGTATCATGTCAGAATTATTCAACGTGTTAGTATCATGTCAGATTTATTCAACGTGTTAGTATCATGTCAGAATTATTCAACTTGTTAGTATCATGTCAGATTTATTCAACGTGTTAGTATCATGTCAGAATTATTCAACATGTTAGTATCATGTCAGAATTATTCAACGTGTTGGTATCATGTCAGATTTATTCAACGTGTTAGTATCATGTCAGAATTATTCAACATGTTAGTATCATGTCAGAATTATTCAACGTGTTGGTATCATGTCAGAATTATTCAACATGTTAGTATCATGTCAGAATTATTCAACGTGTTGGTATCATGTCAGATTTATTCAACGTGTTGGTATCATGTCAGAATTATTCAACGTGTTAGTATCATGTCAGAATTATTCAACATGTTCGTATCATGTCAGAATTATTCAACGTGTTGGTATCATGTCAGATTTATTCAACATGTTAGTATCATGTCAGAATTATTCAACGTGTTAGTATCATGTCAGAATTATTCAACATGTTAGTATCATGTCAGAATTATTCAACGTGTTGGTATCATGTCAGATTTATTCAACATGTTAGTATCATGTCAGAATTATTCAACGTGTTGGTATCATGTCAGATTTATTCAACGTGTTATCATGTCAGAATTATTCAACGTGTCAGAATTATTCAACATGTTAGTATCATGTCAGAATTATTCAACGTGTTGGTATCATGTCAGATTTATTCAACGTGTTAGTATCATGTCAGAATTATTCAACATGTTAGTATCATGTCAGAATTATTCAACGTGTTAGTATCATGTCAGAATTATTCAACATGTTAGTATCATGTCAGAATTATTCAACGTGTTGGTATCATGTCAGATTTATTCAACGTGTTAGTATCATGTCAGAATTATTCAACGTGTTGGTATCATGTCAGATTTATTCAACGTGTTAGTATCATGTCAGAATTATTCAACATGTTAGTATCATGTCAGAATTATTCAACATGTTCGTATCATGTCAGAATTATTCAACATGTTCGTATCATGTCAGAATTATTCAACATGTTAGTATCATGTCAGAATTATTCAACATGTTAGTATCATGTCAGAATTATTCAACGTGTTAGTATCATGTCAGAATTATTCAACGTGTTAGTATCATGTCAGAATTATTCAACGTGTTTGTGTCATGTCAGAATTATTCAACGTGTTGGTATCATGTCAGAATTATTCAACGTGTTCGTTGTTTTTTGTGTGTATTCTTCTCCTGGCTGTACTGTATATATGTGCAGGCAGTCCCCGAGTTATGAACAGGTTATGTTCCTGGACCCTATTCGCAAGTTGAGCTGTTGGTAAGTCGGAACAGTGTTAATTCCATAAGTTAGTTAGGTTAAAGCACAACCCTACTCATAGAAACAACAATAATATTTCATACATAACAAAGAATGTAAATACTGTATTGTAAATAAAGTGATGTTAAATAATATAGATTAATGATTTTAATGTAAACAAAAATGGGATTTTAGTCACAGATTACTCTGATAAATATATTGGAATCCAGTTTGTAACATCCAGGGTATTTAGTGCATATCTCGGGGGTATGGCAGTGAGACAATACTTCAAATGGGGAAGCACCTCTCCTTTGAACAGCATTATGGGGGACAGACTATCTAGCTTTGTGAATATCATTCTTATAAGACCTACTGTACAGCACTTACTTATTTGCTTGATTTATACAAAGGTCTGAGATCCTTTTCATGTTTGTTCTCAGTCACTGATTCTCTGCCTCATACGACCTAGGTGCATCCTTTTGCATTTCATGACATTGCATCGTACAGCCATTCCTTTGACCACTCCTGAAAGCATCTCCTTTGATGCTTCAGAATCTGTTTAGTTCTTAATTTCCCTGAATAATATAGCATTAATCATTAAAATTTGTTCATTTATGAAATGAACAAACAACAACAGTCCAAGTACACTGCCCTGTGGTACCTCACTTGTCACAGGTACACATTGACAATTTTGTCTCGGTAATCACCACATACTGCTTGTGGTTAAAAAAAAACTCTGATCCAAGCTAGGATGCTTTGCCAAATTACGTTTCCTTCGAATTTAATCTTCAGCCTATCATGAAGAATGCTGTCAAAAGCTTTGCCAGAGTCTAGATATATACAATTCTGTACAGTATTATCGTTTTTGCCACCCAGACCCGTAGCCACAGGGGCTTCCTTGGATCCTGTACATAGCAAATGATTATAGCTATTTTATTTGTACAGTACTGAACTTCAATTGTTAACATTTGTATTTAAGATGAGGAGCAATTAACTGATTATAAACTACTATAAAGTGCAAAAGTGTAGACAGAAAATTTTAGATGGAATAAATATTTTTTAAGTACCTTTTTCACTTCTTAATTCTTAGCAAAATTCTCTTTCAATGTAGAGATTATTTAGCAACTTTAAAAGGTAATGCACTGTCTTAAAAAATACACATGTGTGGGAAATTTTATAATATACCTGCACCATACTGTACCCCATATGATAATTGTGCAGTGTCTGGGAGGAAGGAGAGTCGGGTCGTGAGCGATATGTTTACTCCATAGAGACTGGATACAACTGACACAGTACACTCATTACTCATAAATCATAACGGCCGGGCGTCCTGCCCAAAGACTATAATAAGTAAGTCAGGAAAGCAAGGCAAAAACTGTGTAAGCCACATAGCATATAGTTGGCCCCGGGATCAACAGATGGCATTAGTGTGCAAGGCGCAGGTCGTCTGTCAGGGGTTTGCAACCTTCTTTTTTCTGGCCATATGTGGCCGGGAATTGTTATACATGCTGCCAGCTGAACGGCGTTCAAAATTCGGGTTATGTGGCCAGAAGTTTTAACCGCAAGCATGGGATTCGTGTGACTTGCTGGTGGACTTTGACATCTGCCACGCCACTACAAGCCATGACGTCATCCCGGGCTTGATCCACCATGAGAGCTCCCTAGTTTTCTTTGCACAGCCCCAATTATTGGTAACTTTTATAAATAATAACATTATAAATTAATCGTGAATGTATGTAGAACAAGGTAGTTTATATAACAATGAATTATTTAGTCCTAATGTAGAAGAAAAGAGTTGTGTTATCGCAAGTCGTGTGTTTCTGTTGCTACCTCAAAACTGCATTAACTGATAGCTACTAGGCTACGCCCACTACCGTAGATATTTCAAGTAACTGCACTGGGATTACGATGGTCATATACATTTTTATAACAAACACGAGGGGATTTCTGCATACATCACAGCTGTATGTTCGGATAAGTTGCTTGCTGACGAATTTCGTCTGCTGGGGCCAGCAGAATGATGGACAAGGCTAGGCTTATTTTCAATTGCATTTTGTTTGGCTTTTATGAATAACCTACAAATTTAGCTTTTGCCTATTACTGTGTCTATAATTAATTGCTACAATTAATACTTTTTTAAATATGAGTGACTCTTAGTCAGGTGGCAGGTAGAGGTTCTGTAATATAGGTACAGTATTCTGTTTCAGACCTGAAAGGAAACATGCCGTCACCAGCAACAAAAAAACGAAAAATTTAATAAGAAAATCTCAAATTTAACCCTCATTGGGAAGAGGAATTCTTCGTTATTGCAAAACAATCAGAACTGTATTTGCTTACCTTTGTGAATACAAGTACCATTCAAAGCTCACCAACATTCACACCACAGAACTTGTGAAGGCTACTTTTACCAAATTTAAACCAAATTTTGTGGAAATTGCAAATCATATCCAGATTCAACCCTCACATTAGTTTTAGTATTGTTCTGTGAATCTGTATCTGGAATGTGAACCTTTATTTTGCATTGCAAAAAAACAGCTTTATGCTACCTTATAGTAACAGCTGAAAGACATTTTTATTCTAAAATATCACAAGTCTTTTCTTGTTTCTGCACCACAATATATCGTTAAGTACTTTTCTTTGTTTTTTCTTGTATTTCAAAAGTAAATGCCTTTATTTTGGTATTGTTTGTAAGAATTCTTCTTAAAGTAAAATATAGTCCTGCATTTCTGCTTGCTCATTCAATCCTGTGGAATGTATTGTTGACTTTTGTTGTTTAAATACAGCTGCGGCCGATCGCTGATTATTTTCCAGCTGAAGTGGCCGACTAGTATAAAAAGGTTGTGGGCCCCTTGTTTACATGAAGACCGGGTCATTTAAGCATGAGTGGGCATCACCATCACTCGTGTGCTGTATACACACGTACAAAAACAGATCACCCTGAGCTTGTGTTTCACGTTGTTATATATCATTGACGTCAAGGTAATACTATTACCTTGACGTCTTTGCCTTGATGTTCTTAATGTGTACACATGCACACACACACACGTACTCACTGACACGCACACATACAATATTACACAGTAAATTCTTTATGTTCAATGATATACAGCAACGTGAAAACGTTAAACACAAGTTCACTCCGCTGGTTACCATGGAAACATGGACACGCTACCCTCACGCGACCCTCACGCGACCCGGGCTTTTAGTTCACCACGTTGTCGACATATGGCGTTGATCAGAGCTCAGGTTTCGGGTTTTTTAATCGGTAAAGTTAGACTCTTTCTCGTCTTTCTTATAATAGTCTTTGGTCCTGCTTGTGGCTGCCAGGCAGCTGTCGAACATCTAATACAGCAGCAGACATAGAAAATAATGATTCAGGTAATAGACATTATGGGACATCCCACAGTACTACTGTGCTCTTCTTAGTACAGTATTTCATAATAACAATAATGTACCAAGTGATATTACTTTACTTTTATCCTCTTCATCAGTGATCGACTCGTTAGCCTCTTGGGTGATCAGTCACGTCTTTGTTACGCGCTGTTGGCAAGTACTGGGCATGCACTGGCTCCTGAATCTACCTGAACCTGCTCCAGTGTTCGTCAAGTCTAGTCTTGAAAGAGTCACACTCGGTGGCATCACAACACACACTGGCTGATTATTCCAAGAGTTCACAACTCGCTCCGAAAAAGTTGCTCCATATTTTTCTGGACCTGTGGCGTCTTCAACCTTAAGCTGTGACCCCTTGTGGGGCGAGCGTCCGCCAGCTCCAAGTAAGGACACTTGACTGAATAGTGCCCTTCGAGATGTTTATACACCTCAATTAGGTCGCCCCTTGCCCGTCTGTAGTACCTGTATAAGGTAGGCAATTGCAGGTGCTCTTATCTCTCTGGGTAGCTGAGGTGCCGAAGTGCTGGCATTTTCAATCAACTGACAGTCCCTAGTATACCTCGGGGACCAAACGGGGTGACAGTACTCCAGACGAGGAAGCACTTCACACATGAAGATCATTACGAGGGATCCGTCTAGATATTTGAATGACCTAATAAGTCCTATTATTTTAGTTGCCTGATTCACCTTCTCACAATGGCTCAAGAACTTCAGTTCATTGTCAACATATATGTGAATGAATTACCCTGTCTTATTTCAATCCTGCTTGAGTTTGAAACGTGCATGTTTTGAAACTAAAGATTTATTTTACAAGAGCTGTTGTGAGAGGCCGGCAAGGCAGGCCATGTCACTTAGTCGGGACCTGCCTCACAGCTGACACTTTTCCACCCTGTGAGTATGATTAATAATTAATACCCCTGTATGCAGTATATGTATGTAGTGTATTTAGCAAAGAAGTGGCATACTTAACTGGTGTTACAAGTAAATAGTTTAGTCAGTACAAAGCGTAGGACTTGTTCAATCCTTCAGCTTTTCATATATGGAGTGGCAGAGCTGCTGCAGTGTGGTGGTGTAGTGACCTGTGTGGCCTGTCGCTAGCGACCTAGCTAGCTGGCATAGCGTGTTACCTCACTAGAATTCGTGTGTGCCACTAGCCTACTACAGCAACTTTTCAACATAGTTCTCACACCCTCGATGATAGATGCAGCCTCCAGTGTAACCCTGTGTACTTGAAATCCAGTTGACCTGAGTCGCCATGTGACATCAGGCCCCACCTCTACCAGCCATGATTCATATTTTGAATGCTCTCTTTAATATGCTGCCACTATTCTTAATTTATTATTGTTAATACATTTTTGTTTTTAAACTTATTCCTATTTTTCCTTTGGTACAATCATTCGTAGTTGAGGGATAAATGCAGAGTTAATCATAACTGGTGTGAAGATGTAACAACCTTTAACGAATACCTTGACAATACACACCCAGGTCGTCTTCACATAGTCTCAATTAATGCAGTTTCTTCATCCTGTTGGGATATATCATATGCCTCCTTACCGATGGTACATCCCAGGTGCATCCTCTTATACTTCGTGACATTAAATCTAAGCAGCCATTTCTTCAAGCATTCTTGAAGCTCACAGAGATCCTTCTGCAGCTCTTTACAGTCTGCTTTGTTCTTAATTTCCCAAAATAACTTGGCATCATCAGCAAACATTTGTATGGAGGAGTGTACAGCTTTTGACATGTCATTTATGAAACAAACAAACAGCAACAGATCCATTACACTGCCCTGTTATACCTCGCTTGTGAGAGAAATCCAACTGAGTTTTGTATATGATAAAAGTTGGTGGGAGAAATCCAGACACAATAAAATTGGTGAGAGAAATCCAACTTTAATTTTTGTACACTGTGATAAATGGTTGGTGAGAGAAATCCATTTGTACCTTTTTGATACATGAATAAATTCTGAGTTTTTGTAATGTTAGTTGAGATTTCTCTCACCAACCATTTATCATTTTGGAAGTAAATCAGCTTTACAGGAATCTTTGGGGAAATTTTTGTTTGCATGAAGAAGTTTTTCAAACTGGTAATTTCCAGAAATGAAAAAATTACCAACCCAGCATAAATGGTTGGTGAGAGAAATCCAACTGAGTTTTGTATATGATAAAAGTTGGGAAGAGAAATCCAGACACAATAAAAGTTGGTGAGAGAAATCCAACTTTAAGTTTGAAAAATCGCAGAATGAAAAAATCACCTCCCCAAAGGAGCAACACACCAACTTTTATGTGTCAAAAACCTGAGTGATACTCAGTTAGGTTTCTCTCACCACCTTTTATCATTGTACAAAACTCAGATGAATTTCTTGACAACATAAATGCTTGGTGAAAGAAATCCAACTGAGTTTTGTACGGTATATGATAAAAGTTGGTGACAGAAATCCAACTTTAATTTTGGTACACTGTGATAAATGGTTGGTGTGAGAAATCCATTTTGTAGCTCTTTGACACATGATAAAAGTCTAACTGAGTTTTTGTAATGTAAGTTGAGATTTCTCTCACCAACCATTTATCATTTTGGAAGTAAATCAGTTTTACAGGAATGTTTGGGGATATTTTTGTTGTCATGAAGAAGTTTTTCAAACTGGTAAATCCCAGCAATGAAAAAAACCACCTCCCCAAAGGAGCAACACACCAAGTTTTATTTGTGAAAAAGCTGAGTGATACTCAGTTGGATTTCTCTCACCAACTTTTATCATTGTACAAAACTCAGTTGAACTCTTGACAACATAAATGGTTGGTGAGAGAAATCCAACTGAGTTTTATATACAGTATGATAAAAGTTGGTGACAGAAATCCAACTTTAATTTTTGTACACTGTGATAAATGGTTGGTGTGAGAAATCCATTTTGTAGCTTCACACATCATAAAAGTTTAACTGAGATTTTGTAATGTAAGTTGAGATTTCTCTCACCAACCATTTATCATTCTGGAAGTAAATCAGCTTTACAGGAATCTATGAGGATATTTTATTTGTCATGAAGAAGTTTTTGAAACTGGAAAATCCTAGAATGAAAAAATCACCTCCCCAAAGGAGCAACACACCAACTTTTGTTTAAAAACGTCTGAGTGATACTCAGTTAGATTTCTCTCACCAACTTTTATCATTGTACAAAACTCAGATGAATTTCTTGCCAATTTAAATGCTTGGTGAGAGAAATCCAACTTTAATTTTTGTACACTGTGATAAATGGTTGGTGAGATAAATCCATTTTGTAGCTCTTTGACACATGATAAAAGTCTAACTGAGTTTTTGTAATATAAGTTGAGATTTCTCTCACCAACCATTTATCATTTTGGATGTAAATCAGGTTTACAGGAATCTTTGGGGAAATTTTTGTTTGCATGAAGAAGTTTTTCAAACTGTTAATTCCCAGAAATGAAAAAAATCACCTCCCCAAAGGAGCAACACACTGACTTTTGTGTCAAAAAGCTAAGTGATACTCAGTTGGATTTCTCTCACCAACTTTTATCATTGTACAAAACTCAGTTGAATTCCTTGACAACATAAATGGTTGGTGAGAGAAATCCAACTGAGTTTTGTATATGAAATAAAAGTTGGTGACAGAAATCCACTCAGGACAGCTTTATAAATGTTGGTGACAGAAATCCAACCTTAATTTTTGTACACTGTGATAAATGGTTGGTGTGAGAAATCCATTTTCTAGCTTTTTGACACATGATGAAAGTCTAACTAAGTTTTTGTAATGTAAGTTGAGATTTCTCTCACCAACCATTTTTCATTTTGGAAGTAAATCAGCTTTACAGTAATCTTTGGGGATATTTTTGTTGTCATGAAGAATGTTTTTCAAACTGGTAAATCCCACAAATGAAAAAATCACCTCCCCAAAGGAGCAACACACCAACTTTTATTTGTGAAAAACCTGAGTGATGCTCAGTTGGATTTCTCTCACCAACTTTTATCATTGCACAAAACTCAGTTGAACTCTTGACAACATAAATGGTTGGTGAGAGAAATCCAACTGAGTTTTGTATATGATAAAAGTTCGTGAGAGAAACCAGAGACAATAAAAGTTGGTGAGAGAAACCAGAGACAATAAAAGTTGGAGAGAGAAATCCAACTTTTATTTTTGTACACTGTGATAAATGGTTGGTGTGAGAAATCCATTTTGTAGCTTCACACATGATAAAAGTCTAACTGAGATTTTGTAATGTAAGTTGAGATTTCTCTCACCAACCATTTATCATTTTGGATGTAAATCAGCTTTACAGGAATCTATGAGGATATTTTATTTGTCATGAAGAAGTTTTTGAAA